AAAATTCTTCTTCTATCAGTCTTTAATCACCTTACACGAAATTTGGTGAATACATCTCATACTACTGATTTACTGTTAGTGACGAAAACAATACTTAATTTGAAAAATAAGTGTATAGTAGTCGATTGTCATAGCAGATATACGTTTGCTTTATTGACAATCCCACCTGGATGAGAACAACTTTTGGGAAAGCAAAACTATGTGAAATTGAATGGAAACGTCAGCTCAACTCATACCATTGTGGGAAAATTCTTCTTCTAACAGTCCTTCATCACCTTACGCGAAATTTGGTGAATGCATCTCATTACACTGATTTACTGGTAGTCTCGAAACTCTACTCTAATACGAAAATCCTATCAAGTGGCAAGCCTAAGGCTGTCAAGAGCAGACAAATGTAGGAGGCCTACATGGCAATGGCGTCGTCCAGTTCGCCGAGCGTGGCCGTCAGTGGCATCCTCTCTTTGGCCACGTCGTTCGACGATCCAGTCGGGCCGACTGCCGTCGGAGCGAGTGATTTCCGGCCAGACACGCATCGACTTGAGCTGGCATTTGTCTTCACGTCACTCGGCCGACTCAACGCCGTCCCTGGGCCGGGTTGAAGTGGAGCGGCTGGCGTCGAGCCGGTGGCAAGCGGACGTGGCTGGCCGTCGGCGGCCGGCCGGCCGGTCTGAGACAGCGCCTGACGAAGCCGGGCCAGCTCGGCCTCTTGCCGGCTCACCAGACAGGCGGTCAGAGCGGCCGCCTCTCGAGAGGCCTCCAGTTCTCGCTTCAGCTGAGCCACCTCCAGCTCGAGAGGCGCCCGGCTCAGGGGACTCTGCGAAGGCAGACGAGCCGGCAGAGCGGCCAGCTTGAGACGCGTGTGTGCCTGCGGACTGTTCTGTGGAGAGGAGGAGACGGCAAAGTCTGTCGTCGATTGACGGCCGACAGGTTGCGGTGAGATGGGCCGCGACGGCTGGTGATGCTGCGACGGGTCTGAGATGGCGCCGGAGACGGAGGCGAGCGAAGTCGCCAGGCAGGCGACTGTACGGACCGACGAGGGAAGAGAGGATCCGTCGGGCCAAGTGCCAGGGAGCCGTGGGGTGCACGGCGTCGAGGGACTGGTCTGACATGTCCAGATGGACGAGGATAAGGGGCAGGGAGAAGAGCAGGTCAAAGCACAATTGCATTGTCATTCACAAAAATAGACAAACCAGTAACATGTATGGCATTGCGTGCAATCGAGTCCGGCCAGAAATAGGATGCGATTTGTTGATTGGTGGGAGACACAAATAACATATCAGTTTGTAGACAACTTTTAAAGGCCACCAGTAGAGCGTGTTTATGAAATAGATTTCGTTTAAAGTGATAAAAAGAAAGCTAGTTGACGTTCACAACAATCATGGGGTAGACCTTACGTTTCCATTGCGTTTCGCATAGGCCTGCTTTCCCAAAATACATTCTCTTTCAGGCAGGAGAGGACTGCAGTTTCGACCTCGCCTGAACCGGTCTCATCAGCCCCCTCGGC